CCTTGGGCTTATTGGTCGTACCACAGTCACACTCACCCTGAACAAATGTTTTTAGTGGTAGGGAAAACTGTAAACTCCACTCAGACAGGTCCTGTTCTGACAGGGATTTGAACCAGAGACCTTCTTACCGAGACGCGAGAGTGCTATCCACTCAGCCACCATGTTGCTCAATACAATATATACAATGGTCTGATTGGCTTTTTTGACCATGACACCAAAACAGAAATATGAGAAATATTTGTCCCTCAGTCCCCATTGATTCTGGGGAATGTTCTCTTCCATTCAGTTGGCGCAGGAATGGGAAATAGACGACAGATTCAATGTAAATCAGACCTGATCCAATTGGGCTCAGGCCAAATAATGCTGTAGTTGTTAAGTCTAAGCTAAGTCAGGAAAATGTAAGAATGAAAACACACCCCAAAACTAATCTGTATTAGTCATAAAAAAACTGTCCACCACAATCAGCAAAGGCGAGACGACTATTAACGGTAAGATGACATGATCCGCATGCATGCGTGGTGCATGGACAAAGCTCCCGTCCAATCACAAAGCTCAATAAGGCAAGTTCAGCCAATCATGAGTCAAAAGTCGTTTTAGGCTTGTTGTAATGATGGTGAAGAAAGAATTACTCCATGCCACAACATGTGCCCCATGGCCGTGAGGAATGGAGACAGGATTGAGAAACTGCAACACATGAGTCATTTGTAATTCAGGCCTGCAGCTAAAATGTTTGAGTTTCAAGTTAAATCAGGAAATATGATGTAATATTTCACAAGAGTGTTTAATGCATTAACCAATCAGTGAAATGTGGAGCAGCACAGTGTGTGCAGTTGTGAAACAGGTTTTTCATTATCAACAATAAAAAAAAGTGAACTTGTTTTTCCCGTCATTATCAGAGGTGTGTTTGCTACATTTCAGAAGTGTTGAAGGTTTCAGAAATAATAGCTGTAACATATATACCTTTCCGCATAGTAATTAGTTAACAGATACACATAAAAGCTCCTCACCAAGTCCCCAAAACGCTACAATGCTGTTGAACTCAATAATTTAATAATTTACGATTTTTACGATAATTATCACTATATATACAACCATAACAATATCCTGGAGTCGCTTTCTCCCTGACCATATTCTGGTATTTGTCAGTCATGTAAACGAACGCAGGTGTAGTAACTTTCTGGGCACCGGACCTTCACAGTGTGGGTTACACATTTCTCAGTACTGTACTCAAAATACATACATACACACACACATGGACACACACACACACACACAAAGACACACACATGCACCCACTTACTCATTACATATCTGTAGTTGCAGATTTTTAATATCATGTCTGCACATTACTTTCTGTTCATGGCCAAACTCATAATTTATGACATTTCTTGAACTATGGATCCAGTTACAAATGATTGGCAACATATAATTTTGGATTCGACTGTTGCCTTAGACGGGCACTGATATGTGAGAACGTTGGCGCTCACAACATGGTGTCATCGTTACACTATGAAAAGACTGTGGTCCTGTTTCAATCACAGCCCCACTTCCTTGAAACATTTTATTTTAAGGAAAGACTGTATCAACAATGACTGTGAAATGGACAAACGCTTATCTTATCAAAAAGTAGATGTTCTCACGTGAGTATTTGTTGCTGCTGTTTTATGTTTTCAATTGAATACATTGTTATTCTTCTTTCTGACATCATATTTAAGTGTTGGGGGGTATGTTGGTTTTTATAGTCAAGTCAAAGCTACATTTTGAATCGGTGAATTAGGGTTTCTGGTTCTTCCCAAATTGGTGATTCCCAGATAGTAATTAAGAAGGTTACATCTGTATTGCACTAGTTATTCCTTTTTTTGAGATTCTTGACTTTTGAAATATAAAGACTGTTATTGTTAGTTGAAATGAACTGTAAGCATTCACTGAACACTGAACCGTACTTTACTAAAATTAAAGATGTTTGAATTCCCTACTTAACGATCATACTTTATTATGGCAGGGGTTCCAAAACAGTTCAGACCAGGACCCCCAAAATAGGTATGAAATCAACTGGGGACCCCCACTGATATGAGTACAATTTAAATGGAAGATGTTGAAACCGGCTGAATTCAATTGAGTGTTGTTTCTTTGTGTAATTTGTTGCTGTTTTATCGAATATCACAAGAAAAAAAATATTTAAAACAAAAATTTATAGTAAAAAAATAACAAAAAAATGTGTTAAATAATTTCTGGAAATCATCGCTTCTAATGTTCTGCGACCCTCACTTTGAGAATCACAGCTTCATGGTATATTTCATGATGTATTTTTATCATCCTCCCCTTTCATTATGTAATGTTGTTTGCATCGACCCGTCGAACGTGTCGAAGAATGATGGGGGCATGGAAGCATGTTCTGGAAGCATGTTCCGCAGCACGTCCCTCTGTAAAGCAGGTGCAGCGTGACCATTACTTCAATGTCATTTATTTAACAACATACTCTTGGAAACTACAAATCCTTTTCTACTTCTGCATCACGTTCACACTGGTCAAGTAGACTCGGTTCACTTCAGAGGCAACGTCCTCATAACGTCACTCATATGCTCTTGATATCAATGTCACTGAACTCATGAATAAAGTGTGTTCAAAACAAAGGAAGGTGGCTCACCCATAATCTGTACTTCAGTCAACAGGTTTTCCGACGTTTTGTTCTCAATCCAAACCAAACGTCTCGAAAACCTGCTAACTGAAGTACAGATGATGGGTGAGCCACCTTCCTTTGTTATAATAATAATCCCTGTACGATTGAGAGTTTATATAGTACCTAGTCGAGGATTAGGGCACACTCAAATGAAGCATTTTAAAAAAGTGAATGAAAGTGACGTCTGCTTCACTTGGGACTAACTGTGAACTAAATGTAAATGATCCAATGTTATGTGCAGCCTGGTCAAGTGTGTGGTGCAGGTTCTCAGTTATCAGGGTCAGGGCTCCTGCACAGCAGCACATAACCAGGCCAAAGTGCTGCTGAGATGGGAAGGTTTAAAGTGGATACTGTTGCTATTAAAACAATGACAAGATGTATATCTGTGAAATGTGACAATAAAGAGTAAACATCAATATATCACAAGAGTCAAAAATAATTGAGTTGTAAAACTGCACTACATAATTGGAATTTCCAATAATATGTTTGGGTTGGAGGGTCAGCCATGTGCCCTACTGCCCACCTCTATATACAGGTTGTTGTGAGCCTTGTAATGTCCACAACAGGCGCTGGTGCCACTCAAACTAAATTTGTACTGTATACACAACAGGAGATGACCATACTGTTGCACTGACCCTTGTTCCAGTTCCAGGGTCTAGTACTGAATTACGGAGTTCATAGTAGAATATATCAAATATTAAGTGAATAATTGTTAATTTTGTTGTTTTGCTAGCCTGACTAACACCTGGCTAGATGTCATACATAAATGATACAGTTCAGTTTCACCACACTCAATACAGCAGAACTTGTTTCTCTGGCGTTATCTTCGTCAAAATCTCATCTCTTCATATATAAAACCCTGCTTCCCACTCAATTTCAAGCTGATAAATTGTAAACAAAGTATCTATGTGTAAGTATATACAGTAAGGCAAGGCAAGTTTTTTTGTATAGCACAATCTCATGCACAGGGCCACTCAAAGTGCTGAACAAAATAAAATAGCATTAAAATCATAAATAATCACAGTACATTAAGAAAGATAAAAAATATAAAATCCCTCGGTTGTATGCACAGCTAAACAGAACTGTTTTTAACCTGGTTTTAAACATTGTCAGAGAGGAGGCCTGTCTCACATCTTCAGGAAGATTGTTCCAGATTTTAGCAGCATGAATCTGAAAAGCAGCCTCCCCATGTTTAGTTCTGACTCTGGACACTAACAGGAGTCCAGTCCCTGTGCTCCTCAGAGTCTGGGCCGGTTCATATGGGACTAAAATGTCACTAATATTTTGGTGCGAGGCCATCGAGAGACTTGTACACAAGCAGAGCTGTTTTCCTATTGCAGTAGATGCAGAGAGAAAATATCTACATTTAATGGTGTTTCCATAAACAAAGGAATGTTAATATTGCTTAGAACTTGTGCCGATTAAGATAAGACAAGACCAGAACAGACTTATATCATTGTCAACAATTCTTTATTACAAAACCCATAGGGTGAAAATACAAAAATAACTGTCGGTACAAATGATACATTGCAAACACATTCTCATATCAGTCGTTAAATATGATACAACTCCACAGAAAAAAAACAGATCGATTCCACCAAGAGGTAGACATCACAGTGTAATGTTGCTAAGCATGACAGCAGTTCAGAAACATCCCCACCTAAAGTGCCTTCTATAAGTGCCTCTCATGACAATCGGACTGTCCAAATAAGTGAATCATGTTAGGCACTGTAGAATCTGAACCATCAGAACCTAAGAGCTAAAATACACATTATCTGAAAACCACATGCAAGGCTTTGTTTTTGATTGAATCACTTTGATTATTCAGTGAACAGGCAGTAGCCAAATGCATCACATTAAAAGTGCAATAGAAAATAAAAATGTTCAAACTGTATGTTGGGATGAACTTGAATTTGTCTACATTTTACTACAGGAAGACAATTTTACAGTAACATGTTGTCAATTAAATCTGTTCTTGAACAGGCTGGAATGCAAAAGCACCAAGGGAGTGTGAGGCCATGGCCTGTGGTGTTTAAAACGTCTTAACACCTTCATTCTCCCCAAATCTCGAACAGCTCAACCTCCTTGTGGGACTTCTTCAGATCCACACCATACATCAGCTGTGGCTTGAGCTCCGGGATCAGAAGTGAGTTTCAGCATAAGAAAATGTAGTCTATAGCTGGGAAGACAGGCGACAGAAGAAGCAAGCCCTTTCTTGTCGGTCCTAGTGTTCATTTAATATCCACAAGAGTTTGTTCTTTGGCTTTTTGTAAGTGCTTTGTTTATGGTCCCCGGTCCTGGACCTTTAAGTCGATGATGTTCAGCACACAGGCAGCATGCGAGAAGCATTGTACCCTTCCTCTGTCTGGAAATGCAAAAGATTCATTAGGATCAATTAATCAAAGCTATTGCGTGCTATCGAGTACTATTGTTAATATTTACCTCAGTGTAAGCAGGTGGCGTGAGGAATTCAAACGGTGGTGAGTTCATGAAAATAGGACTATCATCATCGTCAATGTCATCCAGCAGTGGTGTGAGGGGCTGGTCCAGGGAGCAGTCTCTGGAGATGTCGCAATAGCTGGGGGGATTCGAGGGCATGCGGAGGGAGACCCAGCTTTGGGAAGAGTTGCTGATTGACCCCTCTTGACTGCTCACACTGTTGCTGCGACTGCCCAAACCAGCGGTCCCAATAACCAGGGGCAGCTCCAGAATCAACTTCTCACTACCAGGGATGTGCATATAGATCTAAAGAAAAAAACAATAAAAGAGGTTTAAAAATGTTTTTAAATAAAAAAAGACTGTAGCAAGTGTGAGAATGTGTGCCAGGGTAGTACGGACTTACCATGAGGGCATACTCAACACGGATGATGTTACAGCTCAGCATGGATGGTTTGATCTTGGGCACTCTGATGGACTTGCCCAGCCAAGCATCGCACATGCCAGAGATGATGTGGTTTCCCCTCACAGCAGATAACTTTTGGCGAAACACTTTTGTACGATCATTGGCCAAGTAAGTGTGCTTAGCTATGATCGCTGCTTTGGGCACAACAATTCGAGAGCAGGTATTCTCAAACTTGGCATTGATGCAGATGTCTTCTCCCTCACAGAAGCCTTTTCGGTCAATTTTCGCATTAAGGGACACTTGGCCGTCTGGGATGAACATACAGGTCACCTTCTTTTCTTTGCAGCCACCTGTGGGACACTGATAGAATGCACACCAGTCAGCTAAAGTCAACTGTGTTATGTCATGAGTATTTGTCTGACATCTGGACTCACCAGCAGGTCTGGGGTGTTTACATCCAATGGCTCTTCCACTTCAAATGTTTTCTTGCACTCAAGGACATGCTGCTGTGGCCTTTCCAGGGAAGCTTTGACATAGTATTGGATGTAACCAAACTTGCCTTTGTATGATGACACCAGCTGCCTGTGGATAGAACGAGATAACACATAAATAAAAATTACAGAAATAAATCAAGACTACTTGTAAAAAAGTTGTCCATGCCCTTACCCATTCTGGGGAAGCTCAAATCCAAAAGAGTATTCATATTTGTTTCCAGGTCTCAAGACAACAGATCCATCAGCATCTATAAATGACAACCAGGTGTTAAATGTTGACGTACTTTCTAGCATGAGATGAGACATAAGGAGTAAACACATGGGCTACAAAGATAATGTGTTATCTGTCTCCTCCATCCACACAGGGCTTCTTACCTGTCGGTTGGCTGTCGAGCTTCAGAACCTCCTCATGTCGAAGGTACTCGGCCTCTTGTCTGCAGCGCTGTTTTCCTTTGGCATATTCCACTTTAGCGCATCCAAGGCCCAGCATTTTCACAGCAGACACACGGGTAATCTCACAGACTTCGACTTCCACACGTCCGCATAGTCTGTCACCGCCGCAATAAAATGTCTTGCTTGGGTCTGCAAAAATGATTTGAAAAGTTTTAATCCTCTTCGTCATGGCCACCATGGCTGCGTCTCCTTTATTCAACCAAACGTAAAAGATAAGAGTAGTTCGAGCGTGCGTACGCTGTGGTGATCTCTCAAAACTTTGAAGTAAACAAAGGCGGCGTCTGGTTTTATATGATAAGGCAGTACAGTACACGGGAACCGAGAATGGACAGCATGGCTCAGCGCATGCACACTGCTCCTATTGGTGGGAAAAGGGTGTTTTTGTCAGCTCCAGCCAATCAGAGCGCACGAGCAACGCGTGGACACTGCGTGGCTGAGTGAATGTAGAACGTGCACAGCATATGCTCTGAACACAGGAAGCCCCCAGTAGACAGTACATTACTCATAAGTAACAGTAATGAAGTAGTTATATCCCGCTGTTACACCAACTATTTAATACCATACTATACTTCAGATTAAGAGGACTAAAGCCAGGACAATGTGAAGAAAAAAAAAATCGACCCTTATAGCCTCCAAAGTCACGTATAAATTTACACTTTCGGTGGTCATGTTCACGGTCATTATTATGGCCTTCAAAATGAAAATTCAAGTGACGTAAATTCATGCGATTCCAATTACTTTAAACATTTAATACGACATACGAATGAATTACAGCCTCAAGAAAAGTAACCTACAGTAGTTTGAGATTAAATTGTAAAATCCCCATACTGCTCCTGACCAGTGTTGGTGGAAACCAGAATGCTCAATGGTTAAGACAAGTGTGTAGTAAGACATTTTAAAACCTTGATGGTGCAAAAGGAAACAGAATAGTTAGCAGTAATGATTCCTCCTTTGCCCTGCACCATAGACTGGGCACAAGTAACCCAATGAAAGTATGAGACTGGTCAGGGTCCACAGAAAGGGCTTTATCAGTTTGCCTACTGTCCGAGGTTAAAAATTAACAGTTTGGTCCTCTTAAATAAGTCCTTCATTTTTATTGAGTGGATGGATGCATTTGCTACTGGACACCTGAATTTCCTACAGGGAATAAATAAAGTATCCAACTAATTCACATAGTATCAGACTGAGTCAATACATACAATTTTGAACTGTAAATATTCTGTACTATCCCAAGAGGGGAAACTGCCTGAGGGAGTTGCACGTCTAAAACTGAAAGTGAAACTGACTGTTCAAATAGAGTCCCAATATTTCATAACCACCACATTACCCTAGATAGAAGTTACCACTTTATGACACAATAAGTACAACAAGATTGAATACTTTAACACATTTATTTCCAAATCACTGGGCAGGGGAGAATTAAAGGCAACCTGTAAAATAAAAATACAATATTAGATCTTAATCTTTTACATTTAATTATTGAAGAATTGTACCACGAGAGCTTCTTAACAAGACGTTAAAAAGTCCCCTTGGATTTACTTTTTGGTCAATTCCACAGCAAACCAGGAATTGGATCATCCAGGCCACCTTGGTATATGACCACCTTCTAAAACTAGTGTCAACTCACCAATAGGTTATTTTAAGGACTCTGCAGCCAAATCTGAAAAATATTGGTTTTAAGAAAATTGCAATGCATGTATTTACACAATTTCAAATCTGTTTCAACACACTAACCAGGACTCCACACACTACAGTATGGAGACCAACGATGCCTGATGCTGAATTTCTCTAGCACTGACTTATGAACAAACCGGCAGATTGTGCTGCTGGCTGCAGATACCATACAGTGCAAACTATTTAAGTAAACTTACTCAAGTCAGCTCGAGGAAAGCTCAGGACTAGCCAAGCTCAATGATTCCTGGAAACAAAATTGTTTAAGACAGGGCATACTTTAAATCTATACAATTCAATTTTTCTATGGTCTGTCCTGCAGCATTATCCCAGATGCCCAATAAAAGTGAACACCTGGGTAAAGCGAGGCTACAGATTTTACTCTTTGAGGCATTTCCCGTGATATGGTCTACAGAGAAGACTTATCAGGACCAACCTCAGGAGTTAGAGTACAGAAGGTACTTACCACTGCCAACAACTATCCAAACCTAAGACAAAAGAAAAGTCAATTATCCAAAAGTAGTAACATCTTTAATACAATTACTTATATCCATGAGTTGATAATTGGACTAATTCAAATGTTTTGCAGCATTATCCCACATGTTCAATGATTGTGATCATATGAGTAAAGCGAAGCTACAAATTCTCTATTTGAGGCATTTCCCATGATGCAGTCTACTGAGAAGACGAATCAGGACCAACCTCATCCCAGGTAACACTGTTCAGGGTGATTGACGCAATTTAGGCTTTCAATTAGAGACAATTACCAAAGTTACACCGCACAAGCCTTTGAAATCACAATGTTCACATCCTCGAATTAAACAAGTACACTTCACTGGTTTGAACAGCCACCTCTGTTCCAGCACATTGATTGCCATGACAAAGGTACTCACATTGTTGCTGGATGCCTGGTCAGTCACATTTCAACACCATCTGAAAAAAACAAACAGGATTTATGACATGTAAATTTCTCCTTTTGGAGATTAATAAAGTACATCTCATCCTAGTATATATCATCTTATCTTTATATAAGCAAGTAATCATGAGCAAAAAATTAATAACTGCGTTCAGAAAGGCATGTTTTCTTCCGAAACGTCAGAGCAGTTGAACATTTAGCCAATCATCATAACGAAGCATTAAGATAAAGGAAGTGTCCTACCACGCAGACTGAAGTAAGCCTCTTCGTCCACAAGGGGGCAGTTGCTTTGACCATTCGTCCTAGAAAGGGCAAAAAAAAAGCTTGAAACAAGCAAAACTAACAAAGTACAAGTTTAAGGGTCTTGTAAATTGTCAATTCTCAAAAGTAACACTGCTGTAGAAAATTGACAACAGTGGGTTGCATGGGAATTTGTTACTCTGAGCACAGTTGCATTGCCATAGACCAAACAATGGGTCAACAGCTCAAACTGTGCAAGTCAGAATATCGCAAATTTAGTTTTAAGCCAATAACCTTACCTCAAACACTTAAGCCTTGGAGAGACATCCGTTTCGGCACCATTTCACAGTCGCTGTGCTACATTGTGATAAAGGAACCCCAGAAGCTACAAGCTTATCCGGCAGGGGCCTCATTTGTGACGATGCATGGGATGGATTGATCATCTACTTCCCAATGGCCAAGCCAAGGAGACACCGATTGATAGTCGCTAGAACAACAAACAAGTGGCGTTAACACTGGAAACCATACAGTGGGTCAATGTAAAGCGACTATTTACTCTAACTTAAAGAAACTTGTGCCAGACCTCATTGACACCATTCAGCAATAGCAATACTGTGGTGAAAGCAAAATCTGAGAATGCTCTGGCCACAGTTTAATAAGAGTATGCCCATTGAGAGGACAGATCACTAGTTGCACCGTGGCTACAGCGTGGTCATGTAAACCCACCGCAGAAAGGCCATGCGGCAAAGCTACTTAGCTAACGTTAGCATCGGCTCCAGTTGCTTTTCACTAGAGCGTAAATGTCTACTATAAAGAAAATCAGATCTAAAGTTGCTAACAATTCAACTTTGGATTTCTTTAGCCATTCTACTCAAATAAAACAAACAAATCTAGTTACCTCCAACATATCATTGCTGAGAGTCTGAGCATTGGCAAACCATGAAAGACCGAGAAGCGGACCGTGGCTCAATTTATATGGCTGCTTTGCGACAACATTCTTTGCGACACATCCACACAAAATACGTCTTTCGCAATATAACTTTTATTTTGTACTTTTTTATTGGTAAATACATTGAGGTTAGTATAGTAACCTTTGCCAGAAAATACTGCTAATACTTTGTAAGGGGATTATTGCTGTAATCAACAACAGAAGTACACATTTAGCAAAACATTTATTGTTTCTTTTTTAGCATGCACTTTTCAGGGAAGTCCTGGTCTCGGTAGAATGTGATGGAATGTAGGGGATATAATGCATCCAAGCATTTTCCTGGATGTGGAAGAATATGTAATCTTAACTTCCTGAGGCTTTCTGGACCTGGAGAAATAAAAACATCTACGTTTAATAGCATAGCGTGCCTTTCAATGAAATTAGCACATTTCAAAGGTTAGTGTTGAGTGAGTAATTTTTGAATATATCCCTTGAACACATAGACTGTATATATTAACTTGAACAGCAGTAGAAAGGATATGGGGAGTGAAAAGGACACATCCAAAGACAACTTTTGCTGATTTTGTTAAGTTGACATATAGTCAATAGTCCTATAGGTTAATACTATTTGGCTCTGTAAAATTTTGTGAAATAATTTTATCAAACATCTCTCTAAACAAAGGTTTTGGCACTCTTTCTGTTATGACGTTTGTGTGTAGTATTCAATCCTTACACTAGAGGGCCATGTCAACACATCCATAACACAGCAAGAAAAACCTTTTGTCTCTGAGAACGGATTTTTGGGAAAGTCCCATATACACCCTCTTACTGTCGATGGATGGGTTGGCAGCATACAGTCTATGGTACGGAGAATGGCGAAAAGTCCTGAAAAAACACCTAAAATGCAATTATAATGTTTAGTAAAGCCAAATTAGGTCCAAATATATTATCTATAATAAATAAATGAACGGTGAAAATTCTTTCATTCAATGGGTGTTTATCTGGAATGCTAGATTTGTATCAAAACAAACTATTTTTAAGGAGATAAATTATTATAAATATATATATATTCAATTGCTGGCTAAATTAGAAGTTTTTGGTCATTTGTGCCAAGAAAGATGTCAGACTGGGGGCCAGTACTTTATGAAATAGCAATTGTCCCAAGGCAGCCACAATGTTCCTTGGATATCTGTTTGTACCAGATGTCCATAATACCAGATGATGATAAATATATAGCATGGAACATAGGGCTTCAAGAAAAACATCAATTCAATTGGACAAA